TCAGTTGTTTGGACGGGGCGATTAAATACTCCAGGACTCTGTTCATACCGTTATTAATTTTCAGCTCCCTAGCAAAAGCATTTACATGAGAACCAAGCACCTCCCACCTTTTATGTTTTAGGAATCTGAAGTCGCTGGGGCCAGTAGGGAGAGCTCTGTTCTGCTCAAGCTTATGAGACAGAAACAAAGGGAAGGTGAGGACAAAGGCAGAGGACAGGGTTGGGGAGGTGGGGGACAGTGGAGACCCAGCCCCAGCCTGAGAAGCCGAAGGCCGGGTCAGGAGGGACCAGGCTGTGAGTGCTAGGTTCTTGGAGGGAATTTGCAACAGGAAGAGCACAGGAACACAGATGAGGCTCCTGCCATGTGGTAGGGTCTGTGGCCACTCAGGTCTCAGGATCCATATGTGGGAGCTTCTGGATGGGAGCTAGTGCCTCCTACTCCATATACACAGCATCTGGTTTTGCTCAGAGTTTTCCACTCTGCTCTGCACAGTTTTGGGCTTCACTAAGCCAACCACTCTGACTCTATTTCTCTTACTAAGTATTGGTATAGGAATGGCCATACAATCCAGTTCTGATCCATGAGGCAAGAAGACAAGACTGCTGAGAAGGGGGAATTCTGGGAAAGTTTTCCCGGAAAGAAAGAGAAATACAGGAAGGGACTGGTCTTCTCTTTTGTTGAGAACTGTCAGGTCTGGAAGTGATGTGTGGAGCTGCAGCAGCCATTTTGTGAGCAGGAAGGGGATTGCCAGACCAGGAGGATAAAAACAACATGAGTCTTTGATGCTGCAGTTGAACTGCTAAATTAACCAACCTTGGGGTCATTCTACCTTAAGGCTTCTTATGATTATTGGAGGTAGTACATTTTCTCACTTAAACCAGTTAATTCAGGGTTCTCTGTTACTTAGCCAAAATCATATACATGCAAGTACATTTATATATTTGTCCTCATTTTACAGTTGAAGAAAATGAGAACCAAGGAAACACTGGTTCCTAAGGTTATGCAGCCTGCATCTGGTTGGAGCCAGGATCTGAACCCTCTCTCTGAGGATGAACTTTCTAGGAGGTGGTAGGAGGGAGTGTGTGTGTGTGTGTGTGTGTGTGTGTGTGTGTGTGTATGTGTGTGTGTGTGTTGGGTCTTTTCAAACATGGTCATTTTCCATTTTTTCCACAGCAGCTGGATGCAGTGGTTTCTAACAGATGAGAAGCAGGGTCTGGATGGAGCTGGGTTTGGGGCCTTCTCAGCATGTCCAGATCCTTAGCAATTCCAGAGAGAACTCCTTGCTCTCAGCACCCCTCAGTTTGGGATGCACCCCCTGAATCCCGCAGGTCTACCTTTGGCTGATGCTGGGTGGGGCTGTGGAGATCCTAGAGCCTGGCCACCAGGGGCCGCTGTGGTCACACCTGAGGGAAACTGGAATACCGGGAGGTGGCCAAGAAAAACCTTTCTGTGAGCTCCAGAGTTTGTGACTCAGGAAGGACCCCATCCCCAAGGAGACGGGACACACCTCCAGAGGATTTAGGATCCAAATTGCTGTGTGCCCACAGGCAAGGTGTCTTCCCTCTCTGAACCTGTTTCCTCCTCCTGGCACATCTCAAATGTGAGCTTCCTCCCTCTCCCGGAGGGTCTGCCTCTCCCTTTGTGCCTAGGTCAACATGGTGGGCAGAGGCTGATTAGGGTGCGGTTGTCTCAGACTAGAGGCCCAGGTCAAGGTTGGGTCTCAGCTCTTGTTTTGCTACAAACCCCACTCCTTATGTTACGGCTGGGTAAACTGAGACCCAGAGAGGATAAAGAACTCACTCCATTTCCCCAGTTGCAACCCAAGAGTATTTCCTGAAGTCCTATTTTTTCCTTGTAGACAGAAACAAAAACTTTGGTTAAAAGAGTTAGAGAGGGCTGGGGATTTAGCTCAGTGGTTCTGCTTCCTGCCTTGCAAGCACAAGGTCCTGAGTTCGATCCCTGGTACCAAAAAAAAAAAAAGTTAGAGAAATGCTTGTGTTCAGGTCTTTGCAGAGACTTTAATATACTAAAGTGATGTGTGCATTTCCAAGAATGGGTATATACAACTATTTCTCAAATTCTTTTCTTTTAATTAAAAAAAATTATTTTTGCACTGTTGGGGCTGGAATCCAGGGCTTCACACATGCCAGGCAAGTGCTGTTCTTCTGAGCCACATCCCCAGCCCTGTTTCTCAGTTCTTTGGGAAGCCTGCTCTCCAAGGTGACTTGGGAATCAGCTGGACAAGGCAACACTGGTAAGAGTAGAGCTAATCTAATCCTGCATGCCGTCTCTGACATCTCTCTATGCGACCCTGGGGAGCTGAATTCCCATCCCCTAAGTTCAACCTGCATGGTACACACAGATGCACCTTAATTTAAGATGACCTTATATTCTGAAAAATACACAGGTTGAAAATATATCTTTTTTATTTTAATTTTTTTGGAACTGGGGATTGGATCCACTGCCTTCCTACTAAGCTACATCCCTAAGACCTTTTTTTTTTTTGGTACCAGGGATTGAACTTGGCTCTTTGCGCTTGTGAGGCAGGCAGCAGAACCACTGAGCTAAATTCCTGGCCCCCCTGAGACCTTTTTTATTTTTTATTTTGAGACAAGATCTCGCTACGTCACTAAGCTGCTCAGGCTGGGGTCCAATTTGTGATCCTCCTGCCTCCGCCTTCCAGAGTGTGGGGAATCACAGGAATGTACCACCTGTAGGATATTCAACACGCCGAGGGAGGGGCGGCCCCTTTAAAAGCACCACCTGCATGCTGCGCAGGGGCCAGAGCTCCGGGATCTGCATGGAGTTGAGGCTGCAGCTTAGAGAGCTGGCAGGGCTGGTCGGAAGTGATTGTCTCAACTTCCTGGGGAATGCATGGTCTAAGACAATGATGCGAGTGGAGAAAACATGAAGCCACTTGGAAAGGTGAGTGTCATCAGCAGGTCTGCGGGGACCCACGGTGCCTGGGGTGGCAGCTCGGATGCTGTAAGAGGCAGGGACCTCGTGGCTGCTGCGGTGTTGGCAACAGTAAGCATGGAGGTGATGTGGGGCGACCCTGCTTCTGCTTGGGACAGATAGGGGGCAAGGTGTAGACCCGGACGGTTCCATGGGGAGGGGACCCTGTGCTCAGACAGAGGTGTGGAGCTCTCTGGTGGGAGCCTGGCCGCTGCCTTCTCCACCCTGCAGGAGGCTGGGGCCCGGCCCAGGCTCTGGAGCCAAACGAGCCACCTCCGGGGGTGGTGAGGTTGTGTGTGCTCTGCTCTACCTCGAGCAGCGGTTCCCAGCTCTGGCTCGGAATGGGCCAGGCTGTGTTCCCTCCCAGGTGCTTCTCCATCCTTCAGCCCAGCTGTGACTTTGGGTGGTGCTTGCCCATCGCTGGGCCTCACTGGCCTCAGCTGTATCGAATGCGCACCTGAATTGTGTGTGCGCCTGTGAGGGGTGAAGGTGTCGGCAGCCTGGCGTCCCTTCTGATTGCAGTACTTCGGGCCACTGGTAATTATGGTAGTGATGTTTTTGTTTCCTGTCCTGCTGCCATCCTAGTGGTAATCAGATGTATGAACACAGGGCAGGGCCACAGCCCGCTAGAATGGCTACTCGGGAGGGCCCTTTGTGATCAACCACTCAGCTCCCAAAAGGGGAAACTGAGGCCCAGGGAGACTAGACCCATCCCATGCACAGGACCATCAGGTCTTTATAGGAGGGCAATGAGTTCTCTGCCCAGGCCCCCACATGTGGGCACCTGGATGACCCAGAGGGCAGGTTGGTGCTTGGGTGGCTTCGTGGTGGGTGCCAGAAAAGCTGAGCCGCAGGTCACTGCCCAGCCCTAAGAGTGGCCTCCTCCCTAGTAGTGCTCTGCCTGCCTTGCCCGAGGCTCACTCTGGGCTTCGGTCTCTGTGTGGTGTTGTCCTCTGGGGATGGGCTGGTTCAGGGTGCTCACAGTAGCCATGTCAGGATTCTGTCCTTGGTCTTCTTGCTCTAGATGCCTGGGTGGGCTTTGGGACGTGGATGGGGGACTGGATGCCAGGCTCCCTCTTAACCATCCTTGCGGGCGACCCTCTGTAAAATGGGCATGATCTTATTACTCACCTGGTAGGGTTGTTGTAAGACTTGGCCAAGTGAGGCCATAAAAGCACTTTGCTTGCTGCTGTTTATGCTAATTAGAAATTGTTTTAAGATTGCTCCTGGTGGCCTAACATGTAGTCCCGACTTTCCCAGCCTGTCTCCAGCAGGACCTGAGCTCCTGTTCCCACCAGGCTAGGGTTGGTGCTCAGCTCACTGACTCAGATGCAGGGCCTTCAGCAGAGCTGTCTGGGGGACCAGGCTCCATGTGCTGCCAGATTTGGGGCCTGGTCTCAGGGAGCCGGATGCCCTCCCCTCTGCCCTGCACCTTACCTTGAGCTGAGCAGGCGGGGCTCAGGGAGCAGGGTGGAAGGCCTACCTCAGACTAGGGGTGCAGTTTCCCCTTTGCCCTGGGAGGAAGCAAAGGCAGGGGTAGGAGGTGAGGAAGAATCCTGGCTTTCCATGGACTTGCTGTGCAGGGCCTGTCACTGCTCTGAGCCTTAGTGCCTTGCTCTCCTCACACCTCCAGTCTTACAAGCGTGTCAGGAAATGCAGTGCCTGAGGCCTGCTGAGCTCTCTGGGGCACGTGGCGTGGCGCCTTCTCAGATCTCCAGGCTCCAGGGTGGGGGTGGGTAAGGGCTGGGGGATCTGCCCCGGCAGCACTGGGAGGGAACGAGCTGCGGAGGGTGTCCCAGACCAGCACAGAGGCAGTGGACCAGTGGGCATGTGGACGGGTCCCTGGCCACGCCAGAGGCCACGAGCCCCAGTGTGATGCTAGAGCAAAGCACAGCAGTGTCCAGCTGCACCCAGCACAGTGGGTGCCCGGAGGGTCCTGGGATGTTTCCCTGGGGCTGGGCCGGCCCAGCAGGTTGGAGCGGAGGCAACCCGCCTAGGGGAGGGAGCGAGGAGGATGAAAACAAGCCAACAGCTGAGACACCATCTGTGTTTTCCTCTTTTTTTCTTTCTCTTCGTTTTTAAAACAATATAGTGCAGACTGCACTTCTCACAGTAGAATATAATGGTCAATTTTAGTATAAAAAAACATTCTCAGAGATTTGTAAATGCACTTAGTGCTTGAACAGGCCTTGGAGAGAGATACAGTACCGCTTCTGGAGCGCCAGGGGAAGGGGCCGGACGTGGGGAGGCTTCAGGCCTTGAGGACTTAGGGGGACCCCGGCTCTCCCCCCACGATGGTGGGGAGGCTGTGGTTTGCAGGACAGAAGTTGGATGGTTCTCCCAATCAAAACCAACAGGTTGCCCCTCACTGGCTCTCAGGAGGACCCCGCACCTTCTTCTCCTGCTGAAGACAATGTGGGGTCCCTCTGAGTGGGCTCTTAAGTTTGCAGGCCCATTGTTAGCCCCTGTGGTGCCTTTGTGCGAAGAGGAGAATGGTGGCCCTTCCTCAAGATGCAGAAAACTGTAATAAATATACAAGTCTAGAATGCAAGTGGTGTCACCTCGGACGAGGTGCCTTTGTGCAGTGCACAGTCTGCACAACTGTGCCCAGCAGCCCTATACAATGTGTTGGAGAGAAAGGGGAAGATGTTGGTCCAGGATGTAGAGAATGGGGGCGGGAAGATGGGTCTGTTAGGAAGCAATTGGTTGAGGGGAGAATCTGAGGGAGGAGGAACAGGGACCAGTAGTCCTGGGGCGTCTAGGATTCTAAGGTCAGAGTGATCTTCACCTGGATTGGTTGATGGGGGTCTATTTTGGGCCCAGTGAGTTCTTATAGGCCCCATCAGGTCCTTTTCTAGGGGCTTGTGGGGGGGGGGATGCAGTGCATGACCCCCCACCCTGGCCTGGGCCCCTCTGGTGGAGACCCAGAAAGGACCATCCCTGTGTGTAAGTGGTTTCTCTCTCCCTGCCTCTGCCAGCCCGGATGGAGGAAGGTATAGGTGCCCCCCGCCCTCCCCTGGCTCTCCCCGTGTCCTGGGGCAGCGAAGGGGGAGGGGCCTCAGTATTCGAGGTCACCCTGCCCCCTCCATCCTCAGGCACCCCGGGTTCCCGGTGGACATCCCATGGGCACAGGGCTGGGCGGGGCACCCTGGGAGCCGCCCACCCGCTCTGCGGCCCCTGTTCCCACCCGGTGCCCCGGCCATCTGTCCGCGCATGCGCCAGGCAGACCTATCTGTAGACGGGCAGGCGGATGTGGGCGTGCTGGTGGTCAAGCAGCCGTGGCACTGCCACAGTCTCATAACCCTTGCCCAGCATCTGCTCCTTGATGCAGGGTGGCCGGATGTCGTTGATGAGGTACTCCAGCGACTGCAGGCTGCTGCTCAGGACCGACGTGTTGCACACGCTCTTGCTGGGCAGGCCTGCCAGGGTGTCCGCGGGAGGCCCCGCTAGCTCCCGGGTGGCTCCCGGCCCCAGCTCAGTCACTGCCACTGCCGCTGTGGGGTTGTAGCAGTCGCTGGTGGGGGTCACCAGCACGCTGTTCCAGGGGGCAGCGAAATACTGGCCCACAGTGAAGCTGGCTGGCAGCCCCACGCTGCAGTTGAGGGGTGACCCGCTGGCCCGCTCGTAGGCCCTGGTGCCACAGGCCTCTGGGGACTTGCTGGCCACTGTGCCACTGCTGTAGGAGCGCAGTGGCTGGGGTGGCGGTGGGGGTGGCTTCTGGGGCCACAGCAGGTAATCCAGGCCACTCTCCGTGTACCCAGTGGGCTTGGTGGCCCCAGCTAGTGTCAGGGCTGTGGTGGCTCCGGGACCTAGCTCTGTGCCCTTCCGGCAGTTGGGCAGGCCAGCCGTGGCTGAGTAGGCCATGCTGGGGAAGCTGGGCACAGGGCCATGCTTGGCGGGGCTGGGATGGGGAACAGCCACGGCCTGGCAGGCAGTGGGTGCAGCACCTGGGGCCTGGCATTGCTGGTTGAGCTGGTAGAGGATACTGTGGATGGAAGGCAGGTTAGAGGGCGGCAGGGGCAGGCCCCGGCCTGGCAGGGGGATGATGGAGGCGGCAGTGGCGGCTGCAGGCAGGCTGGGTGGCGGGGCAGGTGCCTCAGGTGGCTTGGGGTAGGCCAAGGGCCCCAGGGTGCTGGGTGCTGGGTAGGGCGCAATGCCCACCTGCACGGTGGCCGGTGACAGCTTGGTCCGCTTGCCCTCGGCGCTCTTGAGGACGCTTTTGGTGGGTCCGGTGGGGGCGGCCGCGCTGGAGGAGGAGACAGCGGCCTTGACAATGGCCAGCAGCCCCTGGTAGCCAGTGGCGTGCTGCGGGTAGGGGCTGTAGCGCTGGCCACTGGTGTCATAGCCGTTGATGGTGCGGCTGAGGTGCTTGTGCTGGGGCACACGGATGTTGGTGGGGAAGATCTTGATGGACAGCGGGCTGTTGGCCACCTTCTCGGCATAGGCGTCCAGCTCAGCTGGGCTTGGGTAGCGGGAGGAATGCATGGAGCTGGCTGCCGTCTCACCTGTGGGACAGAGGCACTGGTGAGCGCTGACCCAGCGACTCGGCAAGGCCCTGAGGCCTCTGCTGCCCATGGAAGCTCACAGAGCTGCCCAGCCTCCTTCCCTCATATGCTCTCATTCACTCCTCCTTTGTCCCTTCCAGGTCTGTTTGGAACTGGACATGGAACCCAGGGCCTTTGCACTGAGCTACATCCCCGTCCTTTAAAAAACTTATTTTAAGATAGGGACTTCCTAAGTCATTAAGTTTCCCAGGTGGGGCTAGAACTTGTGATTTTCCTGCCTCAGTCTCCCATAGTGTGTGCACCATCACACCCAGCCTTTCCAGATTTTTCAGCTTTGGATCAGAGTGCAACATACAGAACTTGTACACATCAGAAGCTTGATGAACTTTCACAAAAGGACATAGCTGGGTCGAGAGGCAGGGCACTCCCAGTCCCCAACCACGTCCCAATTCGCCGCTATCCTGACTTCCAGCAACAGGGACTGGCTGTGCCTGGTTGTGTGTAGGGAGATGGAGTGCCATGCCGTGTAACCCACCGGAGGATACTGTCTGTGAGGTTCATCCAGGCTGTAACTTGTGCGCTGTTAACGCGCACACCTCTGCCCGGCCACAGCAGCAGTGGTGCCCCTCAGAGCCCCTCCTTGGTCCTGAGATGTTCCCTGGTGCGGCCCTAATTTTCCCTGGGGCAGATGGACAGACCCTGGGTGAGCTGCTTGCCCATGAGTGGCGGGCAGTGTCCATCGATGCTGGTGCTGTCAGAGCCTGTTAATGGGGCCTCCTGGTCAAGTCCTGAGGCCATGAGAAAAGGGGGAGGCAAGGAGAAAGAAGCCTATTTCAGGTGGCAGGAACAGCTGGGCAAAGGTCCAGAGGCAAGGAGGGCTGTCCTTGGTGGGCACAGGAAATCACTGGGGCTGAGAGGAGATGGACAGAAGCGGCCGGGTGGGCCCTGGGTGGCCAGCCAGTGGGTCACTGCACCACGCACACTGGCAACATCTGGAGATGTGCGCGGGTCCCAGCCGGGGGTGGAAGAGCGAGCGGCAGCATCTCACAGTGCACAGCTCGGCCCCTGAGTGAACCGTCCAGCCTTGCACCTCAGCAGGGCTGGGTGGAGCCTTGCCTGAGGGCGTTGGCGGCCTTGGAGGGCATTCAGCAGGGCAGGGGCAGCAGGGAGGGAAGATGGTGGTGGCATCTCACGTCCTTCCAGCCTACTCTGGGCTCGGCAGGTGAGCCCACCGTGGGCCTCCATCCTGACCCTGCCTACGGCAGCCCCCTCCTAAGTGGCCTAAAATAAACTCGGTGTGGAGAATGGAAATGTCACTTTGGCCAATGGGGGAATCTTTCTCCGAGATTGGATTTAAACTACATTATACAAGCAATTTCATGGGCACTTAGCGCCGCTCGGAGAGTCCCGCAAAAAAGGGACTGGCTCTTCATTTGCCAGCCATAAATCAGCAGTTGCTATAATGAGCACAAAAATGTCACTTTTATGCAATTTTACAGATGAACAAAACTGGTGAAATTAGCTGTGGTAACCTACTAGAGTCAGCAAAAGCAGCTGCTGGGGAAAAAAATTGTATCTGTATGTATTTTCGTTCCTCTTAAACTCTCTTCCCAAGCAAGTTTCTGCCATTGTGGTGTGAAAACTCATTTGTCCTCACCATTATACTTTCATTTGGAGTTTATCTTGAGTATCCAATGAGCCACCAACTGTGAAAATGATTAAATCTACAAAATCTATCTAATGGATGGAATAAATTAGGTGTTTAAAATCTTAAGAAGGGGGGAGGGTGGAGCAATGCCTGTTCCCAGTCCCCATTTATTGAAGGACAGGGCATCTTGCCCCTATCTGGTCAGTGGGGCTCCTCAAGGGTGGTGTGGTCCCTCCAGCTTTTCTGGGAGCTGATGGTGACACCAGAAGATTGATGCCATTTGGGGAGCACTTAGTAGGTGCCGGGCTCTCTGCCCAACACTTTTCTGGATGGCTTTTGTTTGGAGAGTGACAGCTCTGAGAAATGGGGGGTGGTCCCCAAGTTACAGACGAGGAACGGACTGTGGCATTTAGCAGCCAGCCTCTGACACCTGCCACCCCAGATCATTCTTCCTTCCTGGTTTTCACACCCACGTGCCATCCCCGGGACCCACACCAACCCCAACCCAGGCTGAGCTGCACAGCCAGTTAAGACTCTGGGGAAGTGAAAGAGCATGGCTTCTGGGACCTGGTCTTATGAACATGGTGGCTTCCTTGTGGCCTCTTGGGTCTCTTGCTGCTGCCATGTGGGAACAGTGGAGCAGCCCTCGGAGCAAGAGGCCTATTGCAGGCGACAGAGGCTCCAGCCAGCAGCTGTGTGAGCCTTATTGCAAGTGGAGCTTCCAGCCCTGGCCAAGCCTCCAGATGAGACCACACCTCCCGAGACCTGGATCTGAGCCACCCGGCTGAGCTGTGATGTGCCCAGTCTCCTGGGCCATTCAGACCAGTGGGGACTAAATGATCACTGCCATTTCAGGCTGCGAGTTTTGGAGTCACCTGAGATACAGCAAGAGATGATCCACACAGGTCCCTATTTCACAGATGAAGAAAGGGAGTTGAGCTTGCCAGGAGTGCACAGCAGGGGCAGAGTTGGAGTCTGATGTCCTTGTCACCCCACCACACATAGGACCCACGGGGGCCAGGGGACTCCTGAGGCTCCATGCTTCTTCTGCAGAATTAGGCAGACTGCCCTTAGGAGGGACGATAGGCAGCCCCTGGGCTTGAGGGGTGGGGGTGACCTGCTCATGGCTGTCATGGCTGTCATGGCTGCCCTGGCCGCCCTGGCCGCCCTGGCCTCTGCCTGGCCCTGAGCTGAATCTCACCTGAAGCTGTGCTTGCCAGGGCTCTCCGCTCCTCGGTGATGTTCATACAGGCACCTTCAAGTGGGCATGGGCCTCCAGGCCACCAGAGTCCCTAGTCTCAAACGTGCCCTGATCTTGGGGCCCTGGGAGCCTTTGGGAAGGCAGCCCCACCCTGCCTTGTGCCATGCCAGAGTATAGTGGAGGTGACATGGAGACCCAGGCCACCCTGCCTCAGCCTGGTGGACGTTGCAGACCCTCCCGAGGAAGGGACCCAGCCAAGAGCGTTCAGTGCCATTGCAGTCTGGCTGGGAAAATGTGAGGGTGCAAGAAAAGGCCCCAGGGGAGGGGAGTGGGGCGCCAGCTGTCAGGGGCAGGCTGCTGAGCAGTGTGAAAGCTGGGGTTCAAGTGGGGTGAGAGAGGGAACCCCAGGATCCTGCATTCCTTCAGTGGCCCTGTGGGTCCCCACAGGGGTCCCTGGCAGGTGCTGGGCTTCATCACCACCACCATCCACAGCAGACTGACTGCTGTTGGCTTGTCTTCCTTGTACAGCAGACTGGGCCTTCTGGAGCTGCCATCGGCACTGCTGTTACCCCCAGGACACAGTGATGTTCGAATGCTGTACTGAGTGAGTGGCGAGGCTGTGGTCAGCTGGACCAGTCAGCCTAGGAGTCAGGGCACTGGGAGCAAAGCCCTGGCATCAGCCACCTTTCCATAGCCGTCCTGGGCCTTGGAAATGTGGCAGTGATCGAAACTAACAAAATTCCTGTCCTTGGAGAGCTGCCACTGTGGCACAGGAGGCAGGCAGCAGCGAGCCCCAGGGACCAGACAGTTTCAAAACGTGTCCCCAGATTCTTTGACATGGCTCCCACAAACAGCAGAGCCTGATTTTCTTTTCTTTCTTTCTTTCTTTTTTTTTTTTGCAGTACTGGGGATTGATCTCAGGACCTTGTGCTTGGAAGGCAGGCACGGTGCCACTGAGCTAAATCCCTGGCTGATTTTCTTCACTTAATCATCAAACTGCCTTCGTGACTCTTGTCCAGTGAGCAAGGTGCAGGGAAGTGATGCCAGGTGGTTTAACAGGCCGAGTGGCTCGGCCACGTGGAGAGGCCACATGTGTGGGTTTAGCGGACTTCCGGCATCACGTGCACATATCCGGAAGCGAGAGCAAGTTCAGAAGATCTCATTCACCCCCACCCTCAGGGACATCAGGGAGGAGAGACATGCCGTCTCCACTGTGCCCTGTCTATTGCTGAGCGCAGATATGCTGGCACAGGGACCGGAGCCCAGGTGATGGGGGCAGTGGTGGAGGCAGGGAGGGCACCTAGTGTGGACTCGTGGCCGGTACAAAGGCTCCTCTGGGAAGGTGGCCTCGGAGTATGAGGGGCACACGGTCAGAGGCGCCTCCTGGGTATCTGGTGAAGGCATGAGAGCACAGAGGATGGCAGTGCAGAGGCCTGGTGTGGCTGGGGAAGCAGAGTCGGTGTTCTGCCCTGAGAAGGGGCGGTGGGTTTTGCTTGTAGTGTCCCCGCCCCACTGCTCTCCTGCCCCTCCAGGTCTCAGCGGAGATGTCCCCGGACGTGCCCCTAGGTCACCTGTGCTGCAGTTGTAGATTCGTAGACTTTTGTGGGCAGACCTTGCTTGCACTTCTCACCACCCTGACATCTAAGTGCACTTGGAAAATATCACAGGAATGCTGGTTCCAGGGCCAAAGACGGGCCTGCTCAGGGCCTTCTGAGGGCCTTCTGGAGGCTGCAGCTGCCAGACAGAAGCAGGACCAAGGTGGCCCCTCTGTGAACTAGGCCACCCCTTCCCTGCTCCATCCCCACCCACCGTGGCCCCATTAAAAGCTTGTCGGGAAATTTAAAAGGCTGGCTGGAAAGTGCTGGGTACATCGTTGCTGCCATTAAGTTAATGTTATGGGCCTTTTACAGGTGTGTTAAATAGACGTGGTTATTAACGAGTATATTAAGCCAATTAAAACCAGCCCTTTGAGTGGGATTTAATGTTGCCACAGGGATACACAAAAGCCATCCTCTGCTGCACTGCTGCCTTCCAGAGGGGGGCAGGGAGGGATGGGGGAACCACTGTGGGGCTCACAGGGCAGTGAGAAGCTGAGACTTGGCTGCAGTCAGGTAGCAGGGGTTTGATGCACAACTCTGTCACTTGCTGTGGGTGACCTTGTGCAGGGCACTTAATGTGAGCCTCAAGGTCTCGTCAGTCACAGGGAATGAAGGGTGGCTGTGTCACTGGGTAGAGTCAGTGTGGCCCCATAAAGCGTGTAACATAGCACTTCCTAGGGCCGGGGATTTAGCTCAGTGGTTCTGGCGCCTGCCTCGCAAGCGCAAGGTCCCAAGTTTGATCCCTGGTACCAAAAAAAAACATAGCACTTCCTCACCATGGGGAGGAGGGGGGAATGGCCTGGAGTTCCTGATTCCGAGCTCCAGGATTCCCTGGAGGACCTGGGCATCTATGGGGGAGACAAGCCAGTCTGTCAAGGGGGAAGAACGGTCAGGACAGGCACGCTCGGTCCAGCCCTCTCCACCCTGTGGGGTCCATCCTGGGGCTGGCTCTGTTTGACAAATAAGTAGACTGAGGTCTGATGAGAGCACACTGCCTGCCCAATGTCCTGGGGCTGGGAGTGGTCAGCTGCAGGCATGGCAGCCACATGCTCCTCCTGACTCCTGGGCTGTGACTCGGAGTGGGGGGTTCCGTTGGAGACCTCAGGTTTTGGAGTGAATGGAACTACCTGTCGCTTTCCCACAGGAGGGGAATGGCAGCAGGTGCTGGCAGATGTTTTTTATGCCTTTGCAGCTTCTACTGCCTCCTTCTGGAAGGCCCAGGAAGTCCCAGTGGGCATTATCAGGGTTGCAGTGAGGAGCAAGGCTCGTCCAGGCCTTCAGGACACACCCTCCCAGCCTGCAGGGAGGAGCAGCCTCATATCTGCATTCCCCTTCATTGTGACACTCCGCCCTTGGAGGTGGCAGCCTCCTGAATGCTCAATTAACATGACACTAATTAGCTGGTGGCACAGGCAGAATCCCTAATGAGGTCGCCCACCCCAGCCCTGGAGTGGGGCAGGGAAGGCTGCTGGGCCAGGGCAGACACAGCTGTTCTCTGGCCTCCACCCGGAGCGCCCTGGGGGAGTGGCAGTAGTGGCTGCACTTCCGGACTGTCCCAGGGACCCCAGCCTGCCCCGGCCCCAGGACCCTAGGGTGAATCTGGGTGCACCAGCTACCAGCTGAGGGCCTCAGGGAAGTGATAATTAAATGACAGCATGCATATCAGGTGGCTTGGTACATAGTAGGCGCTCTGAAAAGGCTAGTCACCTTTGTTTTTAAACTGGAACAGGCAATGGACATAGTGGGTGTCATTCGGATGGCACAGGGATCCTGTCCGCCTCTATCCATGAGTGTGCTGAAGATGCTTGGGCGCATGTGTGGGGCCGTGCATGCTCAGACATTTGGGGGAAGACAGGTGCTGGGCGTGGTAGCATAAATCTATAATCCCAGCTATAGGCGGGAGTATCTCAAGTTTGAGGTCAGCCTGGGCAACTTAGTGAGACCTTGCCTCAAAAAAAATTTTTAAAGGGCTGGGGGAGGGGGGGAATGTAGATCAGTGGTAGAGTGCTTGCCAAGTGTGTATAAGACCTCGAGTTCTAGCCTCAGTACCAGAAAAAAAAAGGGGAGGTGCTCCCAGGCCCTCTTCATCCCTGGAGCCCCAGCTGGAGCTGTCCTTCTAAGTGCAGCTGGGGAGGGCACTTGTATTCCTCCCTAGCCAGTGTCTCAGTTTCCCTTCCTTGGGCTCTGGCTTTGGGCCCATCCCTCACCCTCCCTGTGCCCAGGCCCCTGGCCTTGTGGGCCTCATCTCCACCTGCTGCGTCCCTGCCTGCCCCTCTGCCTTCATCAAAGCTCTGAAACTGCTCCATCCTTTCCCTCCCCACTCATGTACCACTCCCATCTCTATCCACATTTTCTTCAGCCTGCCTCATCCTTCCTCTCTGGCTCTCAGCCCATCCTGCCCATTCTTGCTGTTTTCTGGGCCACATCTGGGGCTCTATTCTGGAGATGAGTCCATGGTAAGTACTGTGCACACCTCTCTCCATTTGTCATTTATCTTATTACATTTTTTATTTTATTTTATTTTATTTTATTTTTTCGGTGCCAGGAATCGAACTCAGGGACCTTGTGCTTGCCAGGCAGGCACAGTGCCACTGAGCTAAATCCTCAACCCTAGTTTCCTCATTTTTTTAATTCATTAAGTTTATTGGTACATTTTAGGTATACAATTCATCATTGGGAATTTGTACCTTTACATGATATATCTTGGTTCTTATTTTTTCCCCATTTCCCTGCCCTCCCTTCAACCCCTTCACCTTATTCTTCCCGCCCTGGGGATGATACTGTCACTTTTCTTTCATGAATAGTATGAGTTTGCTTTCTACCTGCAGGGATTTCTTTATGCATATGGTGTGAGGCAGGGCTCTGTTGTCCCTTACTCCCTGTGGACAGCAGTTGCCCCTGCACTGGATATGGGTCCCCAATGATCTGTAGGCACCAGGGTTCCTAGACTGAGCTCACATGGATGTGGATCTGTTTCTAGGTATTCTGCTCTCTTCCCTGTCCCTCTGTCCAAACCTTAAGCCATGGCAGTACAAGCCCCTTCTATTGCTTCATTATTGGCTTCAAAGCCAGCTTTTCAAGTTACAAACACACAAACAGCTATGATGTAGGGATCAAATTGGATTTTTTTTGATATAGAATTGCTGTCCCTGCATCGGACATATTTCTAAGTTTATATTTGTCTGAGCATGATGGCAAACAACTATAATTCCAGCTACTCAGGAGGCTGAGGCAGAAGGATCACAAGTTCATGACCAGACTGGGAAACTTAGTCCCTATCTAAAAAGAAAAAGAGCTAGAGAGCTAGCTCAATAGAAGAGTACAGTACTTGCCTTACATGCCAAAGGCCCCGGATCCATCCCTAATATTGAAAAAAAGAAATCATTGAATAAGTTTGAATTTTTCTCTGTAAAAGTTATTTGCATCTTTTATTTTATTGTACTTTTATCTTGTGGTGCTTGAGATCAAACTCAGGACTATTTTATTACAATTTTAAATTGGATATCATAACTGAGATGCATTGGACACATTCCTAAGTATACTTGAGTCTTTTTTTCTTTTTTTTTTTTTGAACTTGGGTCCTTGTGTTTTCGAGGCAGGCGGCGGAACCACTGAGCTAAATCTCTAGCCCTCACATTTCTAAGTATTAACCTCCCAAACTGACTTAACATCTAGATGGATCTTTTAACAAGAGATTGACTGATCAACATACTATCCACAATCAGAAGCTCCAGTCAGGATGGCTTCACTGGTTAATGCTACCAAGCATTTAAAGAAGATTTAATACCAGTTCTTTACAGTTTTTTTTTTTTACAATCCCTCCTCCCCCCCCAAAAAAACCTTCCAAAGTAATTCTGCAAGGCCAGTATTACCCTGATACCACTACTACAGATCTCTCTCACATACAAACTATAGATCAGTAATTTTTATGAATGTAGATGGAAAAAATCAAGATACAAGCAAACCAAACCCAGCAGTGTATAGAAAGGACTATCATCCTGACCAAGTGGGACTTAGCCAAAGAATGCAAGGGTGGTTGGTTCAACATCAAATCATCAATGAACCTAACATGCCACATTGATAAAATAAAGGGCAGCTACCATATGTTCAGTTCCAAGGATGCAGAAAAAGCATTTGCCCAATCTATAGCCTTCCAAGATGACCACATTCAAGAAACTGAGGGGCTGAGGATTTAGCCCAGTGGTGCTACCACCTACCTCACAAGGTCCTGACTTTGATCCCCAGTACCAAAAACAAAACAAAACAAAACAAAAAAACCCTGAAAAATCCAAAGCTGAATTCATACCCAATAGTAAAAGATGGAATGCTTTCCTCCTGAAATTCAGAATCAGACAAAGCTGTCTGTTCTTGCCACTTCTTTGCCAGACTGTATTGAAGGAAACTTCAATTGCCAAAGCAATTAGATAAGAAAAAGAAATAGAGGGGATTACATTAGAAGTAAAACCATCTCTATTCACAGCTGACAAAAACTGTTAGAATAACCAGATCCTACAAGATTGTAGGATACATGACCAAGATACACAAATCAATTGTATTTCTATTCACTCACATTGAATAACCAAATGAAATTAACAAATCCAGGGCGGGGGGTGTGGCTCAATGATAGAGCACTTGCCCTGCGTGCACAAGGCTATGGATTTGATCTCCAGCAGCCCCCCTCCCCCCCCAAAAAGGAAAAAATTACAATAGCAACAAAAAGAATACTTACACACTTTAATAAAAGAGCAAAACTTGGGCAGATATGCCATATTCAAGTTGGAAGACTTACTATTAAGACACAGTGTTCCCCAAATAGATCTAAAGACCCAGTGCAATCTCTGTCAGAATCTCAGCTGGCTTCTTTGCAGAAATTGACAAGCTGATCCTCAAATTCATGGAGCTCAGAATAGCCAAAACAATGCTGAAGGAGGACAGAGTTGGAGTACTCATACTATAAGGTTAGAAAAATCAAGACACTGTGGTACTGGCAGAAAGAGAGGCGTGTGAGTGGTATCCTGAATCCTGAAAAAAACCTCACATTTATGGTTAATTGACTTTTTCCAAGGGTTCCAAAATACCTCAATGGAGCAAAAGATTGGTCTCTTCAAATGATTTTGAAACAACTAGGTAATGGCATGCAAAAGAAAGAAGTTCTTTCTTCACACTATACACAGATTAACTCAAAGTGTATCAAAGACCTACATGGAAGAGCAAAAACTAGAAAGATCTTATAAGAAAACTCAGGAGTACATCTTTATGACCTTGGGTTATACAAAGCCTTCTCAGATAAAACATCAAAAACACAAGCCACAAAAGACACTCATCAAAACTAAAAGCTTTTTGGTTCAAAAGATACCATAAAGAAAGTGTAGCAGCAACTCCAAAATGGGAGAAAATATTTGCAAATCCTGTGTATGCTGCATGGCTTTTATCTAGAATATGTGATTTTTTTCCCCCAGAACTTAGAATTGAACCCAGGATCTTTGCACTGAACTACATCCCCATTTCTTTTAAATTTTATTTTTAATTTTGAGACAAGGTGTCCCTAAATCACTAAGTTGCTGGGACTAGGCTTGAACAGCCTCTCAGAGTGCTGGGATTACAGGCATGCCCTACCATGCCCTACTATGCCTGACCTACTTTTATAATTTAATAAGAACAAGACAACTGACTTAAATAAGCAAAAGATGTGAGTAGACATTTCTTTTCTTTTCTTTTTTTTTTTTGGTACTGGGGATCAAACTTGGGACCTTGAGCTTGCAAGGCAGGCAGCGGAACCACTGAGCTAAATCCCCAGCCCGAGTAGACATTTCTTAAAAGAAGATACACAAAGGGCAAGAAGCACATAAAAAGATGTTCAACATCCTTAGTCACTAGAGAAAGGCAAATTCAAACTACTTTGAAATACTACTTCATACCCACTAAAATGGCTGTTAATAAAAAATAGCAACAAATGGTGAAGGTATGGAGGGACCGGAATCCTCATATACTACTAGTAGGAATGTAACATGGCACTGTCTTTCTGGAAAACAGTGACACTTCCTCAGCAAGTTAAAACAGTTACCATATAACCCAGTAATTCCACTTGTAGGTATACACACAAGAGAAATGGTAACACATGTCCACACAAAAGCACACACATGAATGCTCATAGCATTCTTAATAGCCAAATCAGTGGGGAAAACACCCCATGTATTCATATCAATTGATAAATGAATAAAACATGGTATATCCATATAATGGAGTACTCAGCAGTAAGAAGGAATGAAGTGCTGATATAGCCTACAATGTGGATGAACTTTGGAAATGTTAAGGAAAAGAAACTACTCAAAGTGTCACATATTTCATGAGCTCATTTGTATGAGATGTCCAGAAAAATTCTGTAGAGACACAAAATAGTTTAGTGATTGCTTGAGACTGAGGAGGTTGGGGAGAAGTGGGGAGTGGCTACTAATACATTGGGAGGTACTTTTGGGAGATGATGTTATTGAACTTAATAGTGGTGATGATTGCACAATTCTGTGAATATATTAAAAACTATTAAATAGTATAGTATAAATGGGTGAACTGTATAGTATGTGAATTGTTTTATTGTTCTCTAAAATTGTAACAGTATCTTTATAATATGTATTTGCCAGCTTTGTTATGGGTGGAGAGCAAGGGCCAGCAAACTGCTGCATATGGGGCCAAATTTCCCCTGCCTTTGTCAATAAAGTTTTATTGGAACACAGCCACGCCTATTTATTTATGTAGGTATTTGGCTATTTGCCTACTAGAGCATGAGTGTTGATAAATTAGAGACTGTAGGGCTCGCAAGGCAGAAGATATCTGTTCAGCTTCCATTGTACAAAATATTTGTGCTTATAGGTTGATCTTATATTCACAATCTTGTTGAAGACTTACTCTCTTGGGATTTCTATGCAAATAGTTTCATTCTTTTTCTTACCTTTTATACCTTTTTTCTTTTTTTCAGTAGTGGGGATTGAATCCAAGGCCTTTGCACTATGCTATATCCCCAGTGCTTTATTTTTTTGGGGGGTGGAGAGGTACCAGGGATCAAACTCAGGACCTTGTGCTTGTAAGGCAGGTGCATTGCCACTGAGCTAAATCTCTGGCCCCTCAGTGCTTCATTTTTACACAGGATCTCACTAAGTTGCCCAGTCTAGGCTTGATCTTGTGATCCTCCTGCCTCAGCCTCCCAGAGTGCTGGGATTACAGGCCTGCACCACCACACCTGGCCTGATCCTTACACCTTCTGACTTTCTGTCTCATTGCATTGCAGTGGACAAGCTGCGTTCCTAATACTGTCCACCCTCAGGTTTATGGCAATGGTTTGGGGCTAGATGCTCTCTGCTAGATGAAGGAAGCTGCCTTCCCCCCTAGTTAGCTCACAGCATATTTTTCTTTGTTAAGCATGAGTACATTATTTAGTCCACCCTCCCTCTCCTGGCCCTGCATCCCCAAGCGTCTGCCTTTTCCCAGGCTGTCTCCTGTAGGAACAGTACCAGGCCTTCCTCCCACCCCTCGGGCTGCACTCTGCAAAAGCTGTATAATTGAATCTTCTGTGTGGCCCAGTATTTTTTGATTTTATTAGAATTTTAAACTGCCCCTTTTCTTCTGTATTTTATCAGTGTGGCTGGAAGCAGAGCCCCGGCAGGAATTCCTGTAGGCTGAGCTCCACTTGAGCAGCAGCAGCTCCGGCCCTAGGCAGCCGTGGGGGCTGGCGGGGTGAGGATGGGGCAGGATGGGCTGCTCCCTGATCACCTTGGGTTACACGACCTCAGAAGTTTCTCATCAGTGGAGACAAGGGATGGGTCAGGGACCCTCTTGTCCTCTAATAAGCATGGAGGTTGGGGACTGGGGGCAGGCAAAGCAGTGGCTCCCAAGCCCGGGGGGGGGGGGGGGGGGGGCGTTCCTCTCCTTTCATTCTTATTCCCAGGTCACAAAGGAGGAAACTGAGGCCCTGTCACCCACTTGTCCTGGGTCACACCTGTGCCCCATTCAGGGCACAGCCAGAACCAGGATTTGACCCCTAGACCTGTCTCGGTCCCCAAGACCTTGTCCTGTGGGCTCGCGGGGAGGACGACAAGGGGGTGAGCTCCCCGTCCCTACAGAGGAGCAGCTCTGTCGCCTACCAAGGTCCAGCTGAGGACGTCCAGCAGGAGTTCAAGGCTGCTTCCTGGACACAGGAGAGGCTCAGCCCCTGAATCGGCCCTACACTGGCCCCACGGTGCCTCTCTGGGACTCTGCATGGCCTGTATTTTTAGCCGCGTGTGACTCAAGGTTTGTATATAGCACCACGATGAGAAAGTCAAATATTTATTAGTGGGGAAGGTCTGAGCAGCTGAGATAAACAGGTTTCTGTCTCAGGGTGGGCAGGTTCTGTTTGAGACCCTGGGACTCTGGCCAGCTGGGAGGAGCTTCAGACCTGAGGTAGGGGAAGGGAATGACCTTTCCTTCTCCTTAAAATCTTTATTTTCTTTCTTTTTCTCCAGGTCACTTTGTGAAGTCACCTGGAATAGGCCACAGCACCCAGACTCATGCAGCTCGTTTCCCTGTCCAGTCTGACCTCAGTGCCCAGAGACGTGCGCCCTGGTACTATCCTGCCTGGGTCACCAGCCATGCTCTGGGCACACATGCAACTGGTCCTTGTTACAGCTCTGGTCCCCTTAGTGCAGGAAAAAGATCTGAGACCGTACCTCGGCCTACTGTTCCCCTGTGCCCTGCAACTGAGCTTCTGACATTCTTTTTTTTTGGTACTGGGGATTGAACTCAGGACCTTGCACCTGCCCGGCAGGTGAGGTGCCACTGAGCTACATCCCCAACCCACTTCTGACATTCTAATCAGATGGTCTGAGCTGAGCTGGGTGGCTTCTTCAGGCTACCTCATTTGATCTTCACTTAACAGAAGGGGAACACAGGTTTGAGGAGGCTGCTCAACTTGGAGGTCACTTTGGCCATGGCCTGGTCAAGTCCTTTCCTTTTTGATGAGAAACAGCACAGCCCAAAGCATAGGGCCAGCCCTTCCTGTCTGGGTTCTGCCCAGGGCAATAGGGACAAGAGATCCATCACCCAAGAGTCATGCCCAGAAGGAGAGAGCAGGAGCCTCCTTGACCCGGTGTCCAGGCACCGACTGGCAGCAGGGCACCCAATTCAATTTGCTTATCTGCTTTCCTGCCTCTCTCTTTCCTGTCCTCTTCAATTATAGGCAGAGTCAGTGTCTTTTCCAGTAAGTGCAGTGATGTGCAAGGATCCAAGTGGGCAGGGCAGGGAGGACATCTGGGGAGGCCCTCTATGCTCTCTAGTTCTGGCCTGCAAGCAGAAGGAAGCTCTAGCCCCAGTTAGAAGGCCCAGCCCCTGCTTCAGCCAGCTCATAGCAGAGGTGGGAGGTAGGGAGCTCTACCAGCTGAACAGTAGCAATCAGAGGTTAAGATGCAAGACCCCCTGAGACCACAAGCACCTCCTGGAAGAATTCTTCTGCACAGATAACTCAGTACAAAGATATTCTGAGTAGAGACTAGAAACAACGGAGGTGTCCATCAACCAGGGGATGGTAAAATATGGGAATACAGTGAAGCTGCTGAACCCCTAAAGCAACAAAGGAGGTAGAGAGGCCACCACAGCAGTAGGGGTTAGGTGAGGCTGAGGGAGGAAGCAGAGAAAAGGTGTTGCAGCTGCAGATTTCAGAGCCAGAAGCATGCACTTCCCAAAAGGTTAAACCCTGAGGGAGAAAAACCTAAACCCCTTTTTGCAGCAGTGAAAGTGGGGTGCATCAGCTGGTGACAGACCCAGTTGCTTTAGAAGAGCTGAGGAGGTAGGGCTACAAGAGAAACCACACAGACAAGCCATGTTTGCAGGAACCTATTTGTCTCTGAGGCAACTGGAGGAAATAAAGGATGAATGAGTACACCTATGAAACTCTGGGTTCTGAGAAAAATCCCAGCTGGACCAGGACATGTCTCTGGCCATTTTCAGCCTAAACCTCCTGCAATATCTGGGCTTGGAAAAAACTCACTTCTTCCCAAGGTGATCCATATTGGAGAAGCACAGACCTAAACAAAAGATACTAAAAAATGAAAGCAAGGCAAAGCATAAGTTGTGGTTGGCAAAAAACACTTCCATCAGAAGACTGTAGCTACAGAAGAGATGAAGGTCGCAGCCAAATATTTTGTTATGAAGGAAAAAAATTTACAAGAGTAGAAGAAAAAAAACTTTGTTGTCAAAGTAAAGAGAGTAGAGTGAGTACAAGGAAAAAAGGGAGGTGCTGAAAGCAAGAAAAATGAGTAAAAGGAAATAGGAAGTTAGGTTTTTTCAGAAGGTATGTAAGAGAGGCAGGTGGAAGACAGCCAATATGGGTTTGGCAGAAGTCCCCCAAGAAGGAAACCGAAATAATCCAAACCCAGGATTTGCGTGCTCAAGGGTCACAGTACTGTGTTCCAGGGAAAATGGACTCCAAACAGGTCAACCCCAAGACATATCCTAATGAAGTAAGTGGATGTGAAAAATACGGAAAGATCAAGGAGGAAAAATCAGCTTCAACTTCTCGATGGCAACATCTGGCAATAGAACAAGGTCTACAAAATCCTCATTCAGTAGAAAGGCAACAGACAGACCATTCTGAATGTGTGGGAGTGGAGAGTACTGGTCCCCTGAAGCCTTCCTAAGCAGTACACCAGAGGAGGGCCAGCTTCGGACAGTGGGCTCTACGGCAGAAGAACTGGTGGTGAGCACCAACCTTAGTCATCCAGGACAATGAGACTGAAACAAATGTGGGTGTCGCAGTGATGTGGCCAGATGCTAACAGTAGAAAGCCTGAGAATACTGGAGTGGTATCACTAGTACTGGAAGGGAAAGGGGGTGGGGGTGGAAGAGTACACTGTTATTCTCATCTTTAAAAGCTGGGACCAAAAGATAATCATTTAAAGCTGATGTCAGTAACAGAGACCTCAAAATACAGTCAACTCTAAGAAAATGTTGTGGAGAGAAAAATGAAATACACTAATTTCATCATTTTGTTCATCTCAGGAAAAGTAAGAGATACTCTTCTGAAGAAATAAAGAATTAAAGAAGCATGTAAAGTTACTCCACCAGAACAAAACACCAACTTGCCTTATGACTAGCAGATACACAAAACAGAGAACACAGTTCACACAGAGAAAGACTTTTAAATACAAAGCATACAACGACTGAACTCTATTTAAAGAAAAAAGGGGTATTCATACTGGATCACAAAGCTTACCCAACTTTATAGATGAGTCACACCTAAACAAAGTCATTCAGAAGTGCTGAAATAGAAGGATTGGCAAAGATTTCAAGAAAAATACAAATTCGAAAAAAGAGGTTACTGTTTTAATTGGTAATGCTGAATTCAGGTCAGAAAGCAGGAAGTATGGTAAAGGAGGATTCAATGCACATGGAGATTTAAGGGACTGATATCTATGCATTAAATAACATTGCTTTGTCACTCATGAAGCCAAAGCTATAGGTGTTACAAGAAGAAACAGACTAAAACACATTAGCAGAATGTTAATGCTCCATCCATGAACCTGTCTCCATCCATGACAAGTAAACATATATAATTCTGAATTCTGAAATAGCCACACCTTTTCAAGTCCCCATAAAAAAATCCATAAAATGCATAAAAATTACCATTATGTCACAAAGAAAACTTCCAGAAAAGTAGACAAGATTCCCTGATCATAATGCAAAATGAAATGTTAGAAATCACAAAAAATACAAAGCATCAGCCGGGCGTGGTGGCACACGCCTATAATTCCCAGCACGTGGGAGGCTGAGGTAGGAAGATCACCAGGTGTTTGAGACCAGCCTGGGCTACACAGTCCAGGGCCAGCCTAGAATACATAGTGATACCTTGTCTCAAAAAGAAGCACCTACTACTTGATGAGTGAGACTCAAATGAGTCTTAGGTTAATGAAAGGATCAAAATTGTAAAATATCCATAAAATAATGAAGTTGAAAATACTACTTATTAAAACCTATAGAATAT